GTTTAGAGTTTAGGGCTTAGGGTTATACTACCGAGGTGGTATTACTCGGTGTTCATATCGCTTTGTAGTCCACAAAATATAGCTGCACTATACCCCTAAATCTAAACCCTATAGACTTTGAGCTAGATGCCCTGAACTGTCACACCTAAACTAAAAGACCTAGAACCTAAATGACAGTTTGACTGGACAAGTAAGAAGTGTGCGCAGGCTGTGTCATCCGCATTGACAGCCTGCCCTAAGGGCCCAAGTCATCGTAATGATATCAGGGATCAGGCTTTAGGGTTAAGCGTTTAGAAGTACCAAGCTGCACTCCTGCTATCCTAGACCCAAGTCCCCAATCATTGCTCTGAGTGTGCATGTGCCCATCTCGTATAATGTAGGGGCCTAAGTGACTACCAATACTATTCTTAAGGCTCCCCCCTACTACAATTGTAGTATAATTTACCCCAAAACCCATTCTAACTATTAAGGCCCCTACATTATACGTTGACCCGATACCACCTACGCAGGAACCCCCTAGAGGCCAGCACAGGCACAGAACCTTGTAAAATGCTCCTAGCAAAAGCCTAAAAACTCAAACCATAATCATAAGACTCTCGTCCACCTTTCCTACACCCGTAAGACTAATCCAAGATACATATAAACTCTGTTAAGTTTTAAGCCCTATACCCTAAACCCTAAACCCTAAACCGTAGCCCTGTATACCTGAAGCCGGAAGCCGGAGATTTCCGTAGATTTAGGTCTCCATGCTCTCCGCGCGGCTCCTGGATGCTTTGGATGCCGTCGGCCGGGCTGCGCGGGGGAAGCCGAAGGAGGCTCGGTCCAGGGTTTAGGGGCTTAGGGGTGTTTCGGGCTCAGGTTTTTGGAGAACGAACTTGCAAGTAGGTGGTGGGGAATAAGCATATCCTCTAAGAGTCCCGAAGTAGGTGGTGTTTCGTGGAGAGGGTTGGGGGATTGGGGCAACCCTAACATGGAGCATATATCGAATGAATCCTTTTTGTAGATTGTAGACTCTCTATGAGTCTACGAAGGAAGATCTTCAATATGAAGACACAGATGAGACCCGTCTGCCTAGTGTAGGGGCCTCTATATTCGTTTGTGTGTTCCTTATTCTAATTATGGTATAATGGGCCCCAAAACCCTGTTCTACTTATTCAGGCCCGTATATTAGTTCCCGATTCTTGAGAGGAAGGCCTTGAGCCCCAACTACCAAAACCGCAATCCCAAACCCTAAACGAAGCCCAAGTCTTGAACCGCACACCCTCAACCGTAAGCGGCAGCATCAAAGGCTTACAGCTCAGATCTCTAGGTTGAAGGGTGTGGGTCTATGATTTCGGAAGTTGGCTTTGGGGCTCGGGCTTTGGGACCCAATGTTTAGGGATTCAGGGTTTCGGGTTTAGCGTTTAGGGTTTAGGTATTGAGGCTTTGTCATCAGCCGACTTCTTCTCTTGAATCAAGTGACATGTCACATCATGCTGATCGTTGCTGGGTGCATAGCGTACACCTTCTCCGGCTCGGCTGCTTCAAGAATCAGAAATAGAATTCCGTCCCAAACCTCATTGAAAATGAAAACCCATCAACTGAAGAATCTCCCTCCAATCCTTCTCTACCCGTCGAATCCCAGAGGCTTTCGGCGGCTTGCAGCTGCTTCTCTGCCCGGGCCCCAGAGTCGGATCTTTGGGTTTAGGTCGGTTTAGGGTTTGTGGTTTGGGGGTTTAGGGGTTTAGGGTTTAGGGTATAGGGGTGTAGGGGTTGGGGAGTTTAGGGTTTAGGGTTCTTCGAATCCATACCGTACGTAGGACTGCTGGGGAGAAGTAAGGAGCAAAAACAAGGGGTCGGCCAGGGCTGCCCTGAGAGTCCAAATGCCCGGAAGGTAGGGTTTCAGGCCTCCACAACCTTAAAAGCGGCACTTGCTTATTTAGAATTTAGGGTTTTGAGTCCTGGTGGCATCCTCATGTGTCTGGTTGTACACTCGTTCACACACACACACACAGACACGGACACGGACACGGACACAGACACAGACACAGACACAGACACACACAGACACAGACACACAGACACACAGACACACGGACACACAGACACACAGACACACAGACACACGGACACACACACACACACACACACACTCGCCGACACACGTCGACACACGCACGCACACACACACACACACTAATGTGTGTGTGTGTGTGTGTGCGTCTGTGTGTGTGTGCTTGTGTTTCGGCGATGCCTCAAAGCATGAGCCCGTAGTGCTGCGGGGGCAGCTTGAGCTTCGGTGGTTCGGGTTGAATCCTAAACTTTAGACCCTGAGCCCTAAACTCTAAACCCTAAACCCTTGCGGGTTTAGATCGCGGTTTGGAGTCGCCACATCACCGAAAGTACTTGTTGGAGGATCAGAGTTGGCGTTCGGACGGGAAGGGTTTAGGGCTAGGGTTTAGGGATTTTGCTTTGTTGCTGGGTACATTTTCGCATGCGATGTCATTTGGGGTCTAAGGGGCTTTGTAGAGTAAGATTTCGTCTTCCTCCTCGTCCGGTCTTCGGGCTCAACCCTAAACCCCTACACCCAAAATCCTAAACCCTAAACCCTAAACCCCTACACCCAAAATCCTAAACCCTAGACCCGAAACCCCTGCACCCAAAATCCTGAACCCTAAACCCTAAACCCTTATACCCGAAATCCTGAAGCCTAAACCCTAAACCCCTATACCCCAAGCCCCAAACCGCAAGGTGGCGACTTTTGCCAACTTCCTGCGCCAGAGGAACACACCTGGGCTTTCGAGTCCAAGGCCCCTGTCGTAGTTTCCATTAGGGTTTAGGGTTTTGGGTTTTGGAGTAGGGTTTAGGGTGACGGACCCTAGTATAGAAGCTTAAATAAGTAAAGGATAGTATTCCTTAGGGCTCCTTATTGTATATTTATGCTATAAAGGTAGTCTTAAGGTTCCTACATTATACGACCTACCTTTGTTAGGGTTCCTTACTAGATGATTTCCTTTGTACATGTACTTAAGGCGGTTGGGTAGGAGGGGTTAAGGGTAGCTTCAAGGGCATGCGTCTTTGTGCTTTTGGGGTTTGGGGCTTTCAGGCTTTGGGATATAGGCTTTTGGGGTTAAAGGTGGGACTCTAAACCCTGGGGTTAGGGTTAAAGGCTTAACCTTTAACCCTAAAACCTAAACGCAAAAGCCGACCTAAACCCGCTTGGAGAGTTTCAGCAGTTCTGGGATCTCAGACAGACAGTGATTTGTGGTGTCACAAGGACCGCGAAGGAGGTTAACTCCTCATTTTCCTTATTCTGAAACACTAAGCACTAAACGGCGAACCCTCCAGCCCACAGCCCCTTAAACACTAAAACCCTAAAGCCCGTAAAAATCAAAAACTCTAGGGCCCCAAACCCTAAAACCCCGAAACCCCTCAAAACTCTAAGGCCCTAAACCGTAAGCCCTTCCTGAAACCGAGCTTAAATCCTCCGATTCGAAGAGGTTTGGCGGGAAGTAGCCCGAATCTCCGTCGAGCTGACGGAGGTGAGGCTTTAGGGCCTTTAGGGCCTTTAGGGTTTAGGGTTTAGGGCCTTAGGGCCTTTAGGGTTTAGGGTTTCGGGGTTTAGGGGTTTAGGGGTTTAGGGTTTAGGGTTTAGGGTGTTGGGTTCTGGGTTTTGGGGTCTCGGGGCTTTTGAGCTTGGTTTCTGGATCTATGTAGGGTTTCAGGGTTTGGGATTGTTGCACCCTCGTTGTTCGAGCTTTGTGGCTTTTTGGTGTTTTGGGGTTTGGGACGTTGTAGGGTGGATTCGGCTTGGTACGGCCTATAGTGCTTTATGGGGCATTATAGGGTTGTTTACCGCGTAATTGTGTGTTTGGGCATCTTGGTCTTATGCACGAAGAGTGGTTCAGAGTACTGAAAGGGCCTAGACGCGTGGATTCTGAGCGATTTCATTTTACCCTAAGGCTCTAAGGACTGAAAAGATAAGGCTTTTGGGGCTCAAAAACCATACTATATAAGGCTTTTGGGCTATTTTGAACCCTAGTGTTTAGGGTTTAGGGGTGAAGCTGCCGAAGGTCCGTCGAGTACATAGGCGTGCGAGGGCTTATTTAGGACCTGGCCTCTGGGACTTCAGCGATTTCGGGTTGAAGGTTTTTCGGACTTGTAGCGTTGTTAGGCCTTTTAGGGCTGTTAGGTTGTTTGGGATTTTCAGGGTTTTTACTGTTTAGGGCTTTCAGGGTTTAGGGTTTAGGGTCTCATGGCTTATGCATATAGGGCTTCGGAACTGAGGTCCCTCAAAGCCCTAAAAGCCCCAAAATCCTCAAACGCCCTAAGCCCGAAACGGCCAAAGCTCAAGGGAAGCATGGTCCGCGTTCAGGGCTTCGCGTGGTCCATCGTGGAAACAGGGTTTAGGGTCTTAGGGTTTAGTAACAGAAGTTACCATGATAGGGATCTACAGTAAATAATTTCTGCATTGCAGTAATTTAAGATCTACAGTAAATAATATGGTTTCTGCATTATGGTAATTTAAGTGAAATTCCCTTCGCAAGAACCCTGAACCCTAAACCCGAAACCCGAAACCCCTAAACGAGAACCCTGTCAGTGACACTTGGGGTCGGTTTAAGCGCGTTCACCCCGGGATGCGGCTTTCCCTATCAAACTCTCTGCACCGGACCGAGTGATCTAGCGGCCTAAGTAATTACCTATACTATTCTTGGGGGGGGGGGGGTC